GAGCCGCTGCCAGCCCGCCCGTGTGCGAGCAGCAGGCGAAGGCAGGCCTCGCTGGGGCAGTTGTGTAGTGTCGCCCACCCCGTAATGGACCGCAGCGCCAGGCAGGTGCCAGCCCAAGCGGCTGATAATCCGGACTCACAGTGCCCTGCCCCCGCGAGTAGAGCTGGTCCCTAGCATGTCCATGACCCATACTCGTTATATTGCTGAGTGAGTTGGAACTTGAAAGAAGCCTAATAAAATCTGTTCCCTCAGCCATGAATATGTGTTTTTAGTGTCCCCGACCAAGTTCCAGATGGTATACTTTTTTTTTTTTAAGTCTTCTCTATATTTAAATTTTATCCTAGCACTTTTAAGGCTTGTATCCACTCATCCTTTCTTTCATTTTGCCCTTACCACCTTCGCTCCCCACCTTCGCTCCCCGCCCCCGCTCCCCGCCAGTTTTAGTAACTTTGCTAATTGAATTTAGTTGCAAACTGCTCAGACTGAACGGCTGTTCTTGTTTATAGATAATCTCAATCATATATTTCTATTTTCTGTAATTTTACATCTTTCTATGATTTCCTTTATTTCTATTTTCCTGCAGTTTGGGGGGACACAATTGCAGGAACCCTCCAAATAGAACTTCAGGGTTTAGTACAATGTGTGAAGTGTGGTTTGATATTTGATAGTGACATTTTTCTGCCTTCTATAGAGAGAGTTCAAGGAACGCTGTACTCAGTGTGCTGCAGTGTCTTGGGGTCTCACCGATGAAGGCAAATATTACTGTACTTCTTGCCATAATGTCACAGAAGTAAGTAACAGATCGCATTTGTGAATTTGCTTATGTTTAAAGGTTGCCAGTTCAGCCCGTTACGTGGCATTGTTGCCAAAAAATGAATCCGTTTTTACCATCCAGGGAGTGCTCAAAGTCAGAGAAAATAAGGAGTCTTCCGGTGCTTATACGTGGTCAAGGAACTTGTAAAAGAGATTTAGTATGAACTCTTGAGATTATGGGTAAATGATTTCCTGATTCAGAAGTTGTCTAAGGGGAAATAATTAAAATTGAACTGAGAAGATGATGCATTTCTTTTTATGTGTTAATACTTATTTTAAGTTTTTAATATATTACGGTGGCCTAGAGGTTTGGAAGACAGAGGGCTAGGAAGGGTGAGGATGGTTGGAATATCTACATATGCTCTATTATTATTTTACCTTTTATAGATTACAGATTGTTTTATACATTATTTCATTTTCTACAATAAGCCTGCTCTTATAATCGTAAAAATACACTAATCTCACACAAGTCCAACCTACGCCTGTATTAAAATTCACAAAATACTAGAAACACCTTTGTCTAAACTGGCCAGCTTTAAGACACAGAATTGCTTCCTGTGTTAAGCACACCGACGTAACTTCCTAATCCCCTGGCCAAGCTGAAGGCCTCTCCCCAGACTGCAGGGCCTGGAGAGCGGAGCGTGAGGCTCACCACAGAGGAAGGCGGCGCCCACAGGCCACCGCGGGGAGGCCCAGGTGCGCAGCCACAGTTCACAGCGTTGAGCCGGCCCGAACCCCAGCCTTTGACTCCAGGCTCACGGTCCAGTCTCGCCTCTCCCAGTGGGCGGTCGTGTGGCCCATGTGCAGGGGAGGTGAGGCGACTTCACGGTGGCTGCTGGGGCCCCTGCGCCGCTCCCACACCTTCAGGGTGGTAGAAGCAAAATAAGGGTGTGGGCAACCAGCACTGGGACAGGCTAGCCGCGCAGGGCTGTCCTCTCTTCCTCTTTCTGGAAAAGGAGCTACTCAGAGCCGACAGAGCCAGGAAGGAACAACCTGGCACCTTATGGGCGTGAGGTGAGGTGACTCTGGGCCGGATGAGAGCAGCTGTGAAGACTGGCTTCTGGCCAGCGTGGGGTTCTAGGGGCCAGGTTTACCTCCCTACCTTCAACAACTACAATCCTGGGTAAAAATAGAGTTCAGCACATCCCCTTGAGAGAAGTGGTTCATTGAGCGTGCAGCTCCATTCACGCCAGCAGCGTGTCCTGAGCCTGTTGCTGTCCTGAGCCTGTGGTTGACGTCCTCACATCTGCCTCCCGTTTCAGTTCCACGGAACAGTAACCCGCTTACTGGCGCAAGTGCTGGGGTGCTGGGCGTGCCCGTCATTCGATGATGATGAAGGCTGGTGTGCGCACAGCCACATCCAGCCCACTTCAGCGTGTGCAGCGTGAGCCTCTGCTTGCCTCCTCAGGGCGCTGGCAGTTTCACTCACCGTCGCTCTGGGCCAGCTGCGCAGCTGTAAGCGTGGCGACGGAAGAGGGGGCTCACCCAGCGGTCGCCATTAGCGGGATCTATGATTTCATAGAAATTAAAACACCTGACTTCTTCTAGTTCCCCAGTGATAGTGTTTCTGGTGTGTTCTGTTTGATAAAACCTGCAGCAGTCTCTCCTAGCTCGCTGCCTTGCTCGCCTGCCCCCTGCGGGACTGACTTCGAAGAAGAGGCACTGAGCATGGGCATGCTTTCCCTGGGCCCAGAACTAGCCAGTGCCTTCCCTGCCACTGCCACTGGCAGCGCTGTGTTGCCCACGTCTGTGGTGCCTCGGCCACTGCCTGCCTCGGCAGTGCAGGCAGGCGGGGGCTGCCTGCAGGGTGGCGCCGTGCAGAGCCAGGCCCCGGAGTGCCTGGAGACAGTGGTCGCACCTGCAGAGGGGAGGTCCCGGCACACCGCTGCTATGTCCCTGCCCCTGTGGGCGCCGCCTTCCTCTGCGGCAGCCTCACGCTCCGCTCTCCAGGCCCTGCAGTCTGGGGAGAGGCCTTCAGCTTGGCCAGGGGATTAGGAAGTTACGTCGGCTTGTTTAACACAGGAAGCAATTCTGTGTCTTAAAGCTGGCCAATTTAGACAACAGGTGTTTCTAGTATTTTTTGTGAATTTTAATACAGGCGTAGGCTAGACTTGTGTGAGGTTAGTGGATTTTTATGATTATAAGACCAAGTTTACTGTAAAAAATTATGGAAATCATGATGAAAGCTAAAATTACCAGTTACCTCAACAGACAATATTTCAGTAGTTTCCTTCAATTTTTTGCCTTTGTGTGAGAAGGGAGAAGAGGTTATGGGGAGTTCAGTTGAATCTTCATCTTAGTAAGTTTTTTCCTGTGCTATTCTAAACATTGGCGGACTTTTTTATTAACTAGTCACCACTATAACTATATGCTAATTTAATGAATGGCAGGCCCAGTTTGGGGTTGGTAGCTTTTCTAGCTCTTAGCCATTCCACAGTTTGTCCAATCCGATTTTAAGTCCTTGTTCTAGCCCACTCTTGTGTAAGCTTCGTCTGCTTTTGCTGGGTGGCTGCTCTCGTGTGCATTCTGGTTAGTCTTAGAGAACATTCTGACTGTGGCCAACCAGAACTGCTTTAGACTTTGTTCCTGGGGTTAGAGAGAACATGTACCCATGTACCCAAAATCCTGTTGTTAAAGACTTATTCTTTTTTTTTTTTTTAAAGATTTATTTGTGCATACAGAACTGGGGTATAGGCCAGAGGCTCAGGGCGGCGAGAGGCTTCACCAGAGACAGAGTGGGGAGCAGAACAGGCAGATCGATGAAGTACACTGCTGAGGGGAGCAGCGGGCGGGTCAGGAGAGGTCTGCCGCGCCATGTGGTCACCTCCGGGGCAGGCGGGGATCGAACTCATGTGGAAGCGGCTTTAGCTTCTCAGTGCTGTGCTTTAACCCGCTGCGCCACCAGAGAGGGCCTACTTTTTTTTTTTTTTAAAGATTTATTTGTGCATACAGAACTGGGGTACAGGCCAGAGGCTCAGGGCGGCGAGAGGCTTCACCAGAGACAGAGTGGGGAGCAGAACAGGCAGATCGATGAAGTACACTGCTGAGGGGAGCAGCGGGCGGGTCAGGAGAGGTCTGCCGCGCCATGTGGTCACCTCCGGGGCAGGCGGGGATCGAACTCATGTGGAAGCGGCTTTAGCTTCTCAGTGCTGTGCTTTAACCCGCTGCGCCACCAGAGAGGGCCTACAGACTTATTCTTAATGAAAGTTGAAGAAAATTTCAGTTCAAATCTCTAAATTTAGAGAGCATAAGTATTCTCCTTTGAGTAAAAATCTTCACCATTAAGATGTAACGCTTTCATTTTTTCGTTGTGAGAGGGCCAGCAGCCGAGGTACCAACCCTGAGAATTTGGAACTGAAGACTGGGCCCGAGCTGCCCTTAGTCATTGTAAAACCTGGTCGGTTTGATGAAAATCAGCTCAAAGCCATCTTAGAGCATTACTCAAGCGCACGAAAAGTAGGACGACTGAGCTACATGTAGCTTAGGCATCGCCCGTGACAGTAAATGCAGAAATTACTTTAATTCCGAAGTGCGTTTTGGGTGGAGAAAAAAGTGGGTAAGTTTGCCTTTAGGGTTGATTTGAAAACTTACAAGGTTATTTAAAATAAAAATGTACTCACTTGATGAACATTTATTTAGTGTTTGCTGTGTTCTAGGCACTGTTTTCGGTGCTAAGAAATTTTAATGAAAAAAGTAAAATAAAGGTTAGCCAGAATGTTTCCATTTCCGGGAGTCTCTGGTCCTGCTCTCACGATTTGGTTCGTGACAAGCCTGGGTGTGCTCGGCTGGGTCAGGGAGCTGTGGCACTCCCTGGTGATGGGCCCTTTCTGTTCCCTGCAGAGATCAAAAGAAGTGCTCACCACTGGGGCTATCCCCAATACTAAGATACAGGCCATCAACCGGGGGCTTAAAAGAAAAAGAAAACTTGGTAAGTTCTTCTTCATGTGTGCGTGTTAGCATTCCTTAGGCAACTTTCTGCTCAGGAGTTGAGGATGCGGAATGGAGTTGTTTTTTTTAAAAAATAATATAATAGTTGATTTTTACATCATGTGGTGCCTTTTCCCCTCTCAGTTGCAATCCCCGTGGGCTTCCCATCCCCAAATCACCCGTGTGCCATCACCGTGGTCCAGTGCACTTCCCTCCCCACTGTTTTTGATCCCATGCGGAATGGAATTTTAAGCAAGTCGTCCAAAGTGGAGTTAGTAGCCATCGAGGCCAAACCGAAGGCAGTTTCTGGAAGCGCCCTCCTGCATCCTGCACCCCGCCCCGCGCTGTGTTTCAGAAGAGCAGCTGTTATGCAAAAATAACAAGCAGAGGCACTGTGCTCTTTCTGACTGTTGGCATACTGTTTTCTGTTACCGATTACGAGTAGGCTTTTCGGTGTTTTTTAAAGAAAAATGCTTATTTTGCAAAGTGATGCAGCTATGGAAGTGTCAGGTTAGGTGAGTTAAACACGATACTCAACTTTCACAAATCCATTTCTCACATTGAATTTGAACACACCCTTCCAAACAGGGAAAATTATTTTCTCTTCAAATAGCCTCAATGTGAACGTGCTTTGAAAGGTAATCAGTTTCTTTAATCCAGTGAGTACATGTAATTAACCATTATTGCAGGGAATCTGAGGTAAAGTCTAACTGATGATTTTTCTTTGTGATTAATTTCCTAGGAGTATATTCTTAAGTTTAGAACCAGGTTAATGATAATGGTGGATTCTTCCACAGGAGGTAGCTTAAAGGATGCACATACATGAAGTAAACGAAGGCATGTGTATTCATATGCACACACCTATAAAGTGTGTGCGAAATATCTATGTGAAATAGATGAGTAGAGAATGCCTCATGCCTCAATACTAATTCATATTCCTGTATAAGCCTTCGTGGCTTTTTAATTAGGCTAAAACCATAATTTTACTTGGTTTATTTTCGAGGAGTAGATTAATTTTAATGGAATTTTTTTCGAGTAAAACCTGATTAATTTTGACTTGACCTACTTAAATAATTAAAACATACAGTTTACACATAAATCGCTGAAGGACCTTCAAAGATGGCAAGTGCCTCTTTGTCCTTTCTTCATCATCTATAAATGAGAGCCTAGAGTCAGAGTTACAATGGCTGTATCCACTTCTGAGAACTGCAGGCGAAGCGAGCCCACGGGTGCAGAGCTCCGGGCGCCTCAGCCCTCTCCGCGTCTACACGCACCAGAATGCCGGCCGGCCCTTCCGCTCGGCGCCCGTGCAGGCCACGGCGCCTTCCCAGAGCAGAGCTACTCAGCAGGGGAGGGGGCCTTGCAGCATTCAGGGAGGGGAGAAGAGGGGGGTCCTCGTTGTGCACCTGGAAGGGGCTCCTGGGGCCAGAGGAGGAGACTCCAGAAGCTGTGAGCACGTCTGATGCGGTTTTCAGCGAGTTACAGTATTTGCCCATCAGCATTTTCTTTAACTACGAACGCACGTGTACACATGTGACTTTGTCCATCGACGTGGCAGACTTCATCACAGTCTCTTCGGGTTGTCTTGAGGATCAGAAAATAATCTCCCTGAAACACCCGGCAGCCCCCTGGTACCTAAGCTCGGGGATTACTAAGCTAAGCTTTCAGCTCCCCACAACCTAGGCCCGTTTCAGAAGAGCAAGAGGCCATTGAACAGTCCATTTTCTTTGACAGTCTTTGGCCCTTTCTGCGCTCCAGGACCATCACATCTTGGCTTTTGCTCACTCATTCTCCGACTATTCCCTTTATGAGGTGAAGCAGGGTCAGTAGGAACAGTGGCTTGGGACTTTGCTCCGGGCGTCTGCTAGGCGTTGCTCAGTGTGAATACATGTTTGCTGAACTTACTTTTTAAAACATAATTGCTACTCATTTTCTGCCTCTTAATATTTCAGAAAAATTATAGATCACTAGAAACACTTAAAATCTGATAAATTATAAAAATGGTGCTTAGCCTTAGCATTCATGTGCAGTTTTTTGCCAGATTAGAAACGAGAATGTAACAATGAAAATGCTATTCAAGGTGTAAGAAAATTCCAGTTGCAATGTCTAACGCAGCTGTAGCTATGTAGTAGCATTGCATTTAGTACATTGGGAACACAACTGTCTGAAAGATGTTCTTTGTCACTAGAGAAAGGCTGGGATTGGTATGTGTGCGAAGGTTTTCAGCACATACTTTATCAACAAGCAGAAGCCTTAAAGAAACTTGGAGTACGCCCAGAATTAAAGGTAAGTGCACCTTTGTCTGAACATTGGCTTCACATTGTTGTGGTTTAAAGCACAGTGAGCGTTAAAGTGAAATTAAGGAGAAAAGACAGATCATCTGTAGCGACATTCCAGCTACTACAAGAATCGCCTTCCCTGGAAATGTCACTTAATCCTTTCACTGGTCCAATAATTCCCAAAGTATGTTCTTCTGGATGTGGACAAACAATGTTTCTGGTACATCCAGAAGAAAAAGGTTTAGTTTCAGATCTTTAGGAACTATTTCAACAAAATCAAGCAAGTACTTTTGGAGACTGCTTGGGGACTTTGGGGTGTTAATGTCGGGCTTGCTTCGTTTCCCAGGGAGTGTAACATGCAGTATTTGCGACTTAGGGACAAAATCCTTTCATGTATGTATGCTTGAGGCACCAGGCAGGACTCGAGGGCCACAGACTGCTCCCCGGCGCGGGGGTGGGCCTGGGAGCAGAGTCCTCACGCTGGGATATGTACACAGCTGACCTGAGGCTTGCGAAGATGCTCATTCCAGGGCCCTGACTCACGAGGTCTGGAGCGGGCCCAGCAACGGGCACTTCTAACACTATGCCCCGCGCTCTCTGCGCTGCTGGCCATGCTTTGACTTTGTCCTCCTCAGGCGGCCTGCAGTGCCCTGCTGTTATTTGAGTTTCATGTTCCCTCATCTGGTTCAGGCCAATGCAGGAATTCTTTCAAAGGCGGATTATTTAAGCACACGTGGCCCTGTGCACCTGCTTCCTGCCCATCGTCGGGAAGGCGGTGCTGGGGGGAGTGAGGGCTTTATGCCTTCGCGGAGTGAGAAGGCTGAGTTATCAACCGACACACCTTGTTTTATTGCATTGTGCTTTAGTGCACTTCACAGATAATTGTGTTTCCTGTACCAGCAGAAAGATTACAACTTGCTGAAGGCTCAGATGATGGCTAGCATTTTTTAGCAATAAAGTATTGTTAAATTAAGGCATGTACTTGTTTTTTTAGTCTTCGTGCTATTGCATATTTCATAGCCTATAATGTAAATTCCACTTTTATGTGCACTGGGAAACCAAACAATTCCTGTGACTCACTCCATGGCGATGTTTGTTCTATTGTGGTGGTCTGGAGCCAGACCCAGAACCTGTGAGGTGTACCTGTAACAATAGGCCCACAGCGACGTTCTGGCAGACAGAGCAGGAGATCAGTGTGGACAGACACCGCCCAGAAAAGGTTCGCAGAGGAGCCTTTGCTGTTCAGACCAGTCTGGAAGCAGGCCCACACTGGTGACCTCCAGCCACCTGTGGCCGAAATGGATCTGGGTCAAAAGTATTCTAGGAAAGAAACATCCAGAAGTGTCAGACCTTCCCCACGATCGCCCTGTGCTAGGTAGCACGACCCATAGGCTGGCGCTCGGTGAGTCCGGCCTCTCCTGCAGAGTGCTCCTATGTGTAAATCCTCTTATAAATAGCTTTGCTTGCTGCAGCAAGGGGCGGCAGGAGGGTTAACCCTTTTCGTGCGGCTGCCTACCCGCTTCATCTGGGTGCTTCGTGAAAACACTTTTGCTGAATAGCCAGTGAGCATATAACTTTGCATCTGGCCGGTTAAATGATGCAGCACTGGCCTGCTGAGAGCAGAGGCCCCAGGCCAGAACTGAGGCCACATCCCACTCATGGTTTTCCTGTTGATGGCCCGGTCATGCAGTGTGTTTGGCAGCAGAATGGAGCTACCACTGCAGTGTTGGGTCAGAGGTGCTGGGCACTGCGTGGCTGGTGGGTGGTGGGTAGGGGGAGAAGTTGTTTCATGTTACTCTTCTTGGACTAGGGGGCGGTGGGCCGGGGGACAGGAGCCCATAGGTCAGTATCGTGCCGCGGTGGGAAGTGTAGTTACCGCCAGGTTGGTTATTTCAGATTCAGAGTGAATTAGCTTGCAAAAGGAAGGGATCCAGCTAGGTGATCATCACAGAAATAGCCTCTTTCTTTAAGAATGTAACACTGGGCTCTCCCTGGTGGCGCAGCCGGTGAAAGCACCGCATTATGAAGCTCTCCAAAGCCACTGCAGCGCTAGTTCAGTCCCGGCCCCGGAGCTGACCCACATGGCAGTGGCAGACCTCTTCTGACCTGCCCGCCGCTCCCCTCAGCGGTGGACTTCGTCTATCTGCCTGTTCTGCTCCCCCCTCTATCTCTCGTGAATCCTCTCACCCACTATACCTCTGGTCTGTACCCCAGTTCTATAAGCATAAGTAATAAATAAATCTTAAAAAAAAAAAAAAGAATGTAAGACTGCGATGAACCAAGCGTTCTGATATCATAGCCATAACCTCTCTAAGGAAGAGCGGTGAGAAGGGTGAGAACACATGTGGGCGGGAGCTGGCTGCGACACTTGGGAGATGCCTTGGTGAGCTGTGGTGGGGTGTCTGTCATCAGACCCGAGTCACCTCTCCTTTCCCTTCCACCTTAGAATGAAGTTTTACATAATTTTTGGAAGCGTTACCTTCAGAGGAGCAAGCAGGCATATTGTAAAAACTCGATTTACACCAGAAGGAAGAAAGCTCTGGTAAGTCATGGTCTGGAAAGCGGGAATGGAGGAATTTCTCGTGTGAGGTAGAGCGACATGGATGTTCAACCTCATCGAGGTTTACTGTGCTCTTCAGAGGGTTTGCTATGATTTATGGCTCAGAAGAACAGGATCACTGATGCAGACATTGGAATCAACTTTGACTTCTTGTTTGATTAGTTGGAACAAATTTGTAGTTTCATTCTAAATGGAAACCCAAGCAATTTGTGTCAATGTACTATTTAAAATATTCTTTTGCACATGGTATTCCTTTTGGTTGGCTTACCTAATTACTTTATTTGGTAGTTCAAGATTCATCTCAGTTGTTTTCTCTCTCCGAAGCCTTTCGTGAAGAGAAATCTGAGCGTCTCACCCCACTCCCCACATTCACCAGAGCAGTTATATTTTTAGTGGTTCACTTTGAGCTGCTTGGTTAGTGTGCTGTGGAGCTTTTGTTTTTGGGTAGGGAAGGACTCCACCACTTAGGAAAGCAAGCTTGAACAACCTTGATGTGTTTCATTCTCTAGCCTGAGAAGAGCTTCTAAACCGGACACACACTTGTTCGGGGCTGGGCAGCTTGACCCAGTGGTTCTGGTTTGCCTGGGGTCTTGTGGGTTCCACCTTCCGAGGCTAGTGACCCAGGGCTGGGGAAGGACTAGGTGCTAGAGTGAACGGTTCAGAGCAGCAAAACACCATGGCAAGAGGGGAATGTCCTAAGGTTAGTTTAGGACGTGTCTTTTGGAGGTGTGAGGCAGTGAATTTAAAAAACCCAAGAGAAATAACTTGAATTTACTGGGACGTCAAAAGATGCTCTGTGCTTTCTAAGGCAATGTTTTGTTTAAAAAAAAAGGGGGGTGGGATGGAACGCCATGGTGCCGAGGGTGAAGTGTCCGTGGTAGCACCACCGTGGCCTGGGTTGGAGCCCAGCCGGTTTGCAGGCCTCTCCTGTCTGCCCACTGCTCCCCTTGGCAGTGGATTTCAGCAGATCGCCTGCTCTGTCCCCAGCTATGTCTCTGGTGAGCCCTCTCGCCCCCCACACTTCTGGACTACACAAAAATAGATTATATTTAAAAAAGAGAGAGGAATAATCCAGATTGTTAACGAAGCTGATCTTTAAAGCCATACAGCTCACGGATGACAGGAAATTTGCTCAGCATGTAGAAAATGAATCAGAGCTTGGGATTCTCTCTGGTGTTTTATTATTTTTACTCAACTTAAGATTAGAAAAAGTCTTGGTCAACTTGAGTCGACACCTGTCTAAAGTTAGCATCACACTTCAGTCTTCTTGGTGAATAAATAAGTGAAATTTAAAACGTATGGATTGGAAAAAATACAATTTCTATTGAGAGAGTATGGGTGTATTCTATTTTGACATGAAAAAGGAACAACCACTTTTGAATGGGATGTTTAGTCTTCACAAGTAGTCAAGTATTTCCTTCATGCTTGGCTCTGACTGTTCCAAGAAGAGTAAGGGGTGTCATTCTCCCAGATGTCTGTGGTCCTGGGTGAAGTTCGTTCCCTAAGCGTAGGTAAGGCATCAGGTAAGCGCAGATGTGACTTAGGTCAGACTTGTGGGCTGGCAGGAGCAGTCAGGGGAGGCTGTGAGAGAGGGAACCATGAGGCTCCATAGGGCGAGAAATGAGAACTTCAGCCTCCCGGCACCTACGGAAGCCAACTCGACACTTAACTCAGCTCCCAGGTGCTTCCTAGACGCAAGGCTGAGAAGCACCCCCTGGGTAGGATGGGGCGCCGAGGCCAGGTACTGGGACTGGAATAAAGCGGTAGGGTTCTAGATGAAGTCGGGATAGGTCCCACAGAATTTCCTCATGGGTTGGACATGGGGTAGAGAAAGGGGCGTTGTCAGGGTGACTGTAGGGTAAAAGGAGGGAGTTGTCACACCTGAAGCAACAGGAAGGAGCAAGTGTCACCACCTGAAATAGCAAGAAGGAGGGAGTTATCACATTGAAGCAGCAGGAAGGAGCGAGTGTCACCACCTGAAACAGCAGGGAGGGAGTTGTCACACCTGAGGCAGCAGGAAGGGCAGGCAGCAAGGTGGCCATGAGACGCGCCAGGGGAACTGTCTCTGGCATGAAGACGTTCGGGGAGAGGGTGAGGCTGGAGGGGCGCGTTCGGAAGCTGTCAGCTTACACTGGAGTCCTCAGATCTAAAATACTGTTTGTAAGATGCACCCTAGGGAGAAAATACTGCTACACATTAAGCAGATGTGCCACTGATTGCAAGACACAGCCCGGTTTCAGGGATGTTAACGTATGGGAGAGGGCCTGCATTTTGGTAACGAACTATAGGAATGGCCCCTGGAAGTGTGGTGTTTGGGCCTGCGTTTCAGAATGGAGAGCGATGTAGCAGGTAGTGGTTGAAACCCCAAGGCCAGATGACACCACTGAGGCATGAAGACAGAGGACCAAGAACCGTGCGCTGGGTCAGGGTGATGTCTGAAGCAGGGAGGCTGCTCAGAGGAGCCCGAGGAGCAAGTGGTGAGGTCGGAAAGCAACGAGCGAGTGGCCTGGGGAAACCGGGGGAGAGGGGAGTCATTCCTGGGGAGAGCTGCTGTCGCTGGGGCAGGAAGGAAGGGACCCAACTGGGTGAGAAGCAGCGGGGGGCTGGGATGGACTGAGAGGCGGCACACTAGAGATGGCAGGTCTGGACAGCTGCATTATGCTGCCTAACAGCCCAGAGAAATTGTGTTGTAGCTAGAGTCAAGGGCAGATTTTTCCTTAAGTGATAATGAGAGCACATGCGATAGGGAAGAAAGAAAGAATGAGAGGGTGCGGGTGAGTGATGGCCTGAGGAGAGAGGGTGGGAGCGACTGCTCGTGAGAGCCTGGCTCTGGGTGGGCGCCAGGGTGCCCCGGGGCCCAGCTAGGCAGAGGACGGGGTCCGCCAGTGCCGGTGGCGAACAGTCAGTCTCGTGGCGGCTTCCGCTTTCCGGCAGAGTCACCCCGCGCAGCTGGCTGGTGGTGCCTGTGCTGGGCGCGCACCCAGCCTCTCCCCTTCCCAGCTATTTTCATTTGCTTCATGGTCTTATGAGCTTCCTTAATGAATTGTGTCTTTTTATCGCCTCATAAAAAGACCAAGTTTCTTGGCCTGCTTGACGAGAGCCTGGCTGCCTGACGGTGATGTTAACCACCATGGCCGCTAGGGCCATCTTAGGGACCCCCGGAGCCGGGCCGTAATTCGTGTGAAAAATTGAGCAGTGGTGGGAGGTAGAGAGCCTTGTCACTTAAGTGCCGTAAACAGCACTGCAAAGTCCAAGGAAATGAGAAGCCACTGAGGGAGAGCAGTTGCTTGGAAAGATGGTGTGAGAGAGTGAGTGGTGAGTCACAGAGGAGGAGAAAGGACAGGTTCCAGAGGGAATGCACCAAGCGCACTTCCCGGTGGCCACTTAGGGCTGGGATCTTCCTGGGGGGGGGGGGGGGAGAGGCCTGAGCCGCCTGGCCCTGCCTCACCAGCCTCAGGCCCTTTCCAGGCAGCACTGGTGGGGGCGCCGCAGAGAGTGCTTCAGGAACGTGGCAGAGGGTCGCGGTTCCCAGAAATGGTTTCCTGTATGGTGTGTGTGATGGTCAGGAATTGTTTAATTTTGTGGAAAAATTTTTTTAAATTCCTGTGCGATAATTTTATTTTGTCAATAGGTCCTCGAAGACGGTCTTAGTCAGTCAGATTGGGAGAGCGAGCCCGAGCTGCTGAGTGACATCAGTGGTCCTTCTCTTGCTGACAGTGGAGCAGAGTCCCAGCCTGATGGCCACACTCGGAAGCCGTTCCCCATCCACAGAGTGTCACACTCAGGTAAAACGAGATCAGCTTACCTAGAGCTTTGAAGCTGGTAATGCAGCCTGACGATCAGTGAGTCTAGTCTTGTATTCCAAGAAAGGGCGCCTGGCCTGGCGAGAGGACTGCCAGGCAGCATCACATGGGACACTGGCTACTCAGAAGAAAGTTGTTTTATTGTAAAGATTTATTTATTTATGCATACAGAACTGGGGTACAGGCCACAGGGGCAGGGGCAGTGAGAGGATTCCCCAGAGACAGAGTGGGGAGCAGAACAGGCCGACTGACAAAGTCCACTGCTGAAGGGAGCAGCAGGGAGACAGGTGAGGTCTGCTGTGCCGTGTGGGTCACCTCTGAGGTGGGGACTGAACTTACACTGAAACCGCTGTAGCCAGCCTATGGTGCTGCGTCCTAACCCGTTGTGCGCCACACAAGTAATTTTGTGTGATTTTTAAAGGCAGCTAAACTGTTAGTGTTCCAGAAAGGAGGCTCGTTCAGGAAGCATAGTGAGTGTATAGATGCTCAGAATTTGGGAAGGAAAGTTGCAGAAGAGAAATGCTAGAACTTAACCATAGGGTAACAGCTGAGAATCAAAGAGGACATGCCGGCTTCTGAGCATGGGCCCGCGCCAGCTCAGCACAAACTGTGTGTGTGTGTGTGTGTGTGTGTGTTTCTGATTCATGTCTGTGTTTTAAGGTAGATAAAAGAGTGTATTTGAAGTTACAGATCTGTATCTGTATCTTGGTGAGTCACGATTTTAGTGTTTCCACGCTATATATATGTATTTAAACTGAGGGGGGAAAGAGGCCTCAAAGAACAGACCGGGGTTTTATTAAGATTACTAAAACCTTTTTTCTTTTAAGATGACTAAAATCTGAACATGTGCAGGCACAGCGCTTTGGGAGATAGCTTGCAGACTCTTTGGTATTAGAGACTGTCGAAATCTGGGTTAAATGTGATTATATAAAATCTTCAGCAAAACATTTCTTATATGGATTGCTTTTTTATAAGCTCTTGCCCTCCGAAGACTGAAAATTCCTTTTATCAGCATATCGGCATTTTTTGCTGAACTGTGTAGTGTCACAGATAATCAGGTGGGTTTCTTTTTGTGTCTAAAGAAGTAAAGAAGTTAAAATCATAGCTGAATCTGGCAGCAAAGAGTCTCTGGAACTTTCTTCTCCATGCTTTCAGGCAAGCCTGAACTCACGCAGTCCCAGCATCCCCTAACCTACTGGGCCTTGTAAACTTTTAGATCGTTTACCTGTGATAATGGTGTTTTGTTTGTATATTTGTATTTTAGTAATTGGTGACCCTTAGAGCTTTATTTTAGTTTTTACATTAAAAGTAACTATTTATCCAAAAATTTATTACTAAAACTATAAATTGCAGATAGTCATGAAGGAAATGAAGTTAACCAGTCATTGTACCACCCAGAAGTAACCACTATTATTATAGTAAATCATTCCAGAAAGTTTTTGATTCTAGTGTATAGAGAAAGGGAAAGGGTTTTATTATTTTGTTTCTGCAAATGTGAGCTATTCTACATTTAAAAATTTTTAATCAAAATTCTGCAGGCATGTAACTTAAGTAGATACATAGTTATTATAAATAAAAAATTATAAAAGTAAAAATGAATGGCAGTCCACGCTCCCTCTTAGTGTCCTTATGCAAGAAGCATTCGTGTTCAGCTTTCACAGCCTCTGCACACTTCGGCACCACATCCTGATTTCCGGTTTGGACATCAACTGTTAGATCCCCACATGGTAAATGGAAATCTTAGCTCTTCCACTCCTCCACTGTCCCTCTTCCCCACAGTCACCAGCACACAATTGTGTGTGTGTGTTTTTCCAAGATTTATTTATTTATTTGTGCTTACAGAATTGGGGTGCAGGCCAGAGGTGCAGGGGCAGTGAGAGGGTTCACCAGAGACAGAGTGGGGACAGGCAGATGGATGAAGTCCACTGATGGATGAAGTCCACTGCTGAGGGGAGCAGCAGGAAGGTCAGGAGGGGTGTGCTGAACCCTGAAGGTCACCTCAGGACTGGGGATCGAGCTCGCACTGAGGCGGCTGCCCCCACGTGCAGTGCTGTGGTGCTTTAACCCGCTGTGCCGCCAGGGAAAGCTGCAACTGTGTTTCTTATTCTCTGTCTCCCAATTATGATTGTATGGTAATTTTACTAGATCAATATCTAGTGCTTAGATTATAAATGATGCAAAATATTATTCAGAGCGGAGCCATGTAGCTTACTGTGCTGGTTCTTTGTTACATCCTCTGATTTGCTCAGAGCAGGTCATTGTCTCTTATCATTTAAGTCTTCTAGTTGTCCGGATCTGTGACTTGTCACACACCATCGCCACACGCCCCTCCCAGCTCCCTAGACGGTGTGTGGGTTTCATCTTCCCAGTAAGTGGCCCTGCCCGAGCGGCTCCTGTCTGGGACGGTGTCTGCTGCTCGCTGGCGGCTTGGGCGCCTCTCCCGGCTTTCTGTTGCCCGAGTCTTTATTTCTTTGTCTTCCTGGCTCACGCCCTCATTTTGGGAGCATCTTTTCTTCCTTTGATGAGGATGTTAATGATGTTCTCTGCCCAGCCCCCACTCATTGGTTGTTTTGGCCTCTTCGCTTTATGTTAGAAGTTTTCTGCGAGGGTTTGGTAAGCCTGAGTCCTGTTAAAGAGTTGGGACTAAAAGGTGATTGAACGTGTCGCCCCACCCCGGCCTTGTTAGTGCTGCTCTGAGTGGAGAAGCCAGCTGGATTATTTTCGCAGTGCAATTCCAGCATTATCATCTTTTGATCACCTTTAAATCTTTCCCCTGAGCGGATCAGATTTTCCAGAGAAAATGTCTGAGTCCCGCTGGGACTGCCAGGAGGATGTGACCTGCCTGTGCAGGGGTCTGGGCGGGAAGAAGGCCCCAGGGCAATGGCCCATAGAAACGGCCGCCTCGTTTCAAGGTCTTCACAGCGCCTCTCTGGACTTGTTGCTGCTCTTCTGTTGTCCAGAATGGTCACTTGCTTCTTGGTCTCCATTTTTCTCCTAGAGACAGCGTCTGTCTGCTCCGGATCTCTTGACGGAGTCGAATATTCCCACCGAAAGAAGGGGGTGGTGACGATGAGCGTGCCGGGGACGCTTGCCTTCTGCTTCCTGTCGTTGCTGTGGCAGAGGGAGGCGATGACTCTCTCAGACCTCTTGAGGTGAGTGGGGCGTCTCGTGTGCTGTTTTGCACATGATCTGTGTGAACTAAGGGGTGACGCTTTGGCTATTCTGAAGGCTTGAGTTGAGGAAGGGTCTAGATGGGGAGGCCTGGGCTAGAAATTTATGTGGTGGGAGAGTCGCATGTGCCTTACACAGGGTGCTGGGCAGCCACCTGTCCAGTTCGAGGTAAGTGCTTGGAAGATGAAAGGTGATGCTGCAGCACCTGAGGGGTACCAGTGCTCTCGCTGCTGAGAGAGAAGACGGCAGGCGGCTGCCTCGGTGGGGTCGGCGGGTCCCGCTGACCGAGAGCCGCGTGGTCAGAGCCGAGGACAGGCTGTGTTTACAGGCAAAACTGAAAACAAAGCTATGGAGAGAAGCTGCCAGGTAGCATTGGCGTTTTCAGGGAAACCTGCAGGGCTTCATAGTTACTGCGCGGTCGGCGTGTGGGGAAGGATGGCTGAGTGGGTGACCTGCGTCTCACGTGTCCTTCCCTTGCGCTGTACGTGCCGGGAGTGTCACGCTTGGGCCTGGCCAGTGTGGTGTTTCGAGCACAGTCTTAGACCCGACTCACCCTGGATTCAAACCCTGGCTCTGGCGCTTTGGTGTCTGTGACCGTGGGCGCGTTGCCTCCATGTCCTTTGCCTGTTTCCTCGCGGGTGGACGGCGCTGAGGGTGAGGCCCCTTCGTGGGGCTGGATCTGCTTTCAGTAATAAGCGCCGCATGAGTTGTCGTTAGAACAGCAGCTGGCACGAACGAGCTCACCGCTGGTGATTGCGTTTTTGTTGTCTTCATCTTCATCTCCATCTTCCTCATCTCCATCTTCACGGTCCTCATTATCATCTTCAGCGGCGGCAGCGGCTCTAGGCCACTGATGAAATAAAATGGCTCCAGTAAGCCATGACGGTGCCTTTGAATTTGACCACATCAGCCAAGTAATAAGGCTCTCCTCGGATGGGATGACCTTTGCGTGCAGATAGTCCGTGATTCAGTGCGCTTTCCTGTTAAGTCGCAAACCTCACCTTGCCCCGTGTGCCTTCGCTGGGTGAGCTCATCCTCTCCAAGGCTCTAATTACCTTCTCCATGATGATGACTCCCAAATTGACAGCTCCAGCCTGGACTTGTCTGCTGAGGGCTGGCCCCGCACCTCTGCTGCCTGTTGGCCACCACGTGGCCGCCTCATGGTGGCTCCAGGTCAGCGGGACTGGGGGAGACGCGCCCTTTCTCCTCAGCCTGCTCCATGGCCGGTGTTCTCTTTCTTCTTCACCCAGCATGCCTGGACTCTGCTCGTCATTTCGCCCAGCAGGGGCCTACACCACCAAGGAGCTCAGGCGTGTGGTGGCCCCGCTCCCTGTCCTCACCCGCGGCCGTCCCCTGCCAGCAGAGCTGCCACCACTCCCGGCCACTCCCCCTGCTCGGCAGAGACGCCAGTGATCTAGCTGATCTGCTGGTGGTGCTGGGCCTTTGAAGGGGCCAGCCGCCAGCCAGGGCCTGTCTGAGGGGTAACAGGACTGACTCATGGACTTCTGAGAAGATGGAGCAGGAAACTGTGCACCAAAATCCTCTCAAGGGAACGCTTTCTGGGGTTGGGAGCAGTCAGCTCGTGGGCCTCTCTCCCTTTCTCCCACCCTGCCACCTGCTCCCCCGCTCTCCCTCCTCCTCCTCTCCCTTCCCTCAGAATTGCCAAGGAGAATGCTGAAGTGCCTTCTAGGAGACGGGAGCTAGCTAGCGGAGAGCATTTATTTTGCTCTGGCTTCACTGGGAGCAATGGGAGGTGAGACTGTCCCCACGTATCTTCTGCCTCTGCTTTTCTGGGAGGCGAGGCCAGTCCTAGGCACTCAAAGCATGGTGCCCTGACCCGCCGCAGCAGACCCTGGGGACAGGGTCTGGCAGTCTCACTTTTAAGCCCTCCAGGATTCCTATGGACGCTAAAGTTTAAGAACTACTAGTAAACTTTTAAAAATTTGTAAAGAACTTGATTGGAAGGGGATCCGTTACTAGCCTGGCCGCGGTAGCCATAGATTCTATGCCGATCCTGCAGTGCGTCCCCTGCCTAAATCCTTGGACAGCATCCAGTCCTTAGGAAAAGCTCATAACCCTAAAATGCTGACTCCTCACTTATTATTGAAATTGACCGTTGACCTCTTTTGTAGTCTAACCCGTTGGGATACAGTTGTGAGCCCCATGGATCAGGGCTCTCCCGAAGTCAAGACCAGAGGAGGAGCCAAGCGAGCGAGTGAATGAGTGGGAACTGGCCAAGCAGGTGCAGTGCAGGGCCAGAGCGGTGTGGAGGGGCTGGCGCCTGGGCGAGGGAGGCCTTGCTGAGAGGGCGGGGTTTCTTTGCGTGAAAAGAGCCAGCCGGTGAAGGTGAAGAGCCGGAGGACGTGCCAGGTGTAGGGCTCCTCAGAGTGGGGCCGCGTCTGAGAGGAGGGGGCAGAGCTCCTAGGTGGGGGCCGGATTAAGGTCTTTGTCTGGCACCTTGGGAGTTTGAATTTCTTTTCAGTGGAGGTTAGTTCATTTACAATAAAACTGGCCGCTGGAAAGGCGCACTTAGGTGGTTTTGAATACGCCCGCAGTGGTGAACACCCATGTGGATCTACTTCAGGACATCTTCATCTGTCCAGAGGAAAGCCTGTAGCTGTTAGGTGTTCAGCTTTGAAGTTTGACAGTAAGCTACTGGAAGATTCTATCAGGAACATTCAGGAAGCTGTGGGGAAATGGCTTTCCCGGGAGAACAGGTGGCCTTTTGCTGCCCTTCACCCAGGGGAGAGAGACCTCGATCAGGATGCGGGTAGTCGAAGTGGAACGAGGTGAAGGGGCTGCATACGCTGGGGTTCAGGAAGACAGCAGTTCAGGGCAGCGCCGCGTAAATGTCGGTGACGAGAGCCGGCTTACTGACCCCAGGCTGCCTCCGGTTGAAACTTCAGGGGCACACAGGACACTGTTAGTGCGTGCGCTTCGCCCGTCCCTGCCTGGGTCGACCCAGAGGCCCAGCGCATCTTGCACGGAAGTAGGCTCTTCAGAACTTCGACTGCTTCTTTTGGAAAAGCACGTGTTTTTTAAGAGGAGTTTCAAATTGAAAAGGAAAAATGAACTTTGGAAAGAGGTGAAGGGCAACATTGTTAAACTGTTAGAGCCCAGCTGCCTAGACCTCTCTGTGCAGACCCCTCTCCCCTCACCCCCCACCCCGGGCTCCATGGTCCACGGCGCTCCTCCAGCCACCTTTTGGGGGGGCGTGGGGTTCCGGCGGTGTCTCTGTCTGTGTTGACTCATCTGACCCACCAGGGTCACGGAGGTGGCGGGGCTGGGGCAGCTTCAGTTCTTACTCCTCTCAACCCTGAACTCCACACAGGGCTGACAGCTACTTCACTGCGTGAGTGTGGGGGTGGGGGGGTGACTGCATGTATTGTGGACGTACTAACACGGGGAGCACTAGATATTATAAAAGAGATGAGCCTTCTGTAAAAGGCAAAATAATGTGACCCAAGAGTCCAGTTCTAAAATAGGTGTACCTTGGTCACGATACAAATAATTTTATGTCGATTGAAGAAAATAATGAAAATTAGCTGGGGCGGTGGGGGGTCCCTGTAAGGCTGCGTTAGTTAACCCTGTTTTATGACTAAGCTTTATAAAACACCGCTTTCTCATAAAATATTTACTTTAATTCTCAGCTTTCAGTAATCTAAAAAGTGAAAGAAATCACATTTTCATTTGAAATTAAAGTTGAGCCAGTCGTCTTTGCTAGAAAGCTGAAGGCCAGCACCAGCCCAGTGCTGACTACGCAGAGACGACACGCTCTGAGGCTCGGCTTGACCCTGCCTGCATTTCTCTACCTGCTTTTCTGGGTTTCAGGCGCTGAAGTATTGATAGGGACCAGCTGGTGAAACCTCCGTTCCTCATTCTCTGTCCCCCTGACCTTTTGTCTGACCTCATTTATCTTCTACTTTCACGAGAATGAAAGCTCCTTGGGAACCAGAATTTTTGGGGTGTTGTCCACTGCTGTGCCCCAGGCCTAGAGCAGTGCCCCGCGTATAGCACTAGTCCCCTCGGCCTCTGCGGCTGTGTTGTTTTCTTCAAGCTCACTGAGTCACTGGGAACCTTCGCCCCTGCTGTGTAATCCACATGGGGCGGCCTGAGGGGCTGAGGGCCTGAGGGGCTGGCCCCTTCTGTGCGCCCATCCTGGGAGCTGAGGGCAGGGACAGTGGGGAGGAGGCCAGGGCCAAGGAGGCTCGCCCTGAGGGAGTGAGTTAAAGATGAGTGGGAACCAATCTTGCAGGGGGCTGGGGGAGAAAGCAGCCCCAGGTGTGCAAGCCAGGGGCCAGCTGGCAGCTAAGAAATACACTTTTTGCACGTCGATGATCTTTCCCATCAGATACAGAAAACATCCTTGTTCTCCACACTCATGGGCGTGAACAATGAGCATCTTCAGGTTTTGCATCTTAGAACAATGTGGATGCTCTAGTGGGCGTAACTGAGTCTTTGAAATACAGCATTTGCAGGAAGTCTGCTTGGCTTAGTCAGTACATGCCTCTCATGGAAACTTTTTTTTACTAAAGATTCGTTGAAGAGGACCATATTCCTTACATAAAGGCGTTTGAGCGTTTTCCGGAGGAGATGAAATTATATGGGCGCGACAAAGGGATCTTTGCCATCGAGGTGAGCGCATTTCTTTTTTACTTTGTTTCACTAGCAGGACACGAGAGCAGTGCGGGGATGTATTTTCCTGTTCTTTTTACTTGGCCATGAGTTCGTTTTTAATGTCCTCTAGGATTTGTTTTATCCAAATTTGGAACATTAGTCATAATTTAATGAGAATTAGAAGTGTTGTTTTTGTTTTTTTACATGACTTCTTCTAATCCTTCAACTTATCCTCCAAACTTTGCTATAGTTTGATGCCTGCGCACTACGAGTGAGGTATATTATATATGCCTGCGCACTACGAGAGAGCACTAGGTGATTTTGTTTTTGAAAAAACACGTACATTTTATTGTTATGGGTAAGCACTCCTCCTTTGGAGTGTTTGAAGAACTAGGGGAGCAGAGGGCAGAGCAGCAGGCGAACAGAGCAGGCGATGAGTCGATGCGCAGAAGCCTGGCGGGCCTGGGCCAGGAGAAGAGAAGAAACTCATTACCATATTTTCGGAGACTCGATTTAGTCCTTTGTGTTCATCTTTTTCTAGATCTGTTTCCCGATGTCTCTAATGGAAGGGCTTCGGTCCTTTAATTTGGAGTCAATCACTGCTTAGAGTTCTCAGAGGTTATCTTCCCTCTGTTCTTCATTAGCAGGTTTTCATTTTTCAGTAATTAGCAGGTACTAACTATTAATGTTAAATATTATCTTCCATTTGCTCGCGGAAGGAACTGCTTTCGGAGGCCTTCTAACAGTCACCAGCTGCACATTGCTGCAGCTTAATTCAGGAGACTTTCGGGATCTGTGTGAGCATGTGTGCTTAGTGCAGCTGTCGTCCCCTGCAGGGTCACGTGCCTCCGATGGGTGTGGCTTGCAGGTGTCCGTGGCGGTCCTGGGCCGCGTGAGGCGCGCAGGCCTTCTGTTCATAGGCTCCTGGCTTGCTGTTTGCCTGCGCTCTGCCTCGTGCAGCCTGGTCCTGCAGACGCTTGGCTGTGTGCTCTGAGCTCTCGCGGGCTCCGGCCACGGCCTGTGAGGTGCTGGTTCTGAGCGCTGGGCCAGGACGCACTGTAAGCAGAGAAGCTTACAACACACCTTTACGTTTACGTCCTAGGTGATTAAGCGCTTTTACCATTTTGCATTGAATTAAAATGTTGGTCACTGTGAATGTCGCAGAGAACATTTGATCTTTAAACCAGGAAGGGCCCCCGACCCCGAGCAGGCGGATCCCTGTGGGTGTAGGGAGCGGAAGGCCCCTCGGAGGCAGGTGCCCAGTGGGCTTCCTTGCACTCCATCTCGCTCCAACCGGGGAGACGAGGCCAGTTCCAGGTGTGCCTGCTCTCTCGGGGTTTGCGCCCTGGCACACGAGGCGGGAAGTGCAGCTGCAGCAGTCGCTCACCTGGAAAAACAACAAGAACAGAAATGAGAGCGATGGCAGCACTGGTCACGGCCCGGCCTGTGGACACACTTCCTGGCGTCTCACACCAGCCCCATAAAGCAATCGTCCTGTCACCCCTGTTTACAGTTGAGGCAACTGAGACCCACCCTGATGGGTAAGCCTGCTCCTCCCCCCGAGCGTAGTCAGCTCCCAGGGCGAGGTTTGGAGGGAGAGCCCAGGGAGGGACAGGGACCGTGCCCAGCTGCGAGGCCAGGGTGAGTGGCAGGGCAGGTGACGGGACTGGAAGCAGGAGCAGCTTTTTGAGCTAAAAAGGGGGCACCACACTGGTTACCGAGGGGTGGCCCTGAGGCTGAGGTGGCACCCAGAGCCTGCAGGTGTGGGGTCAAGGCAGTCCAGGCTACCAGAGATGGGGGCGGGGGCAGCCAAACAGCCTTCCTAAGGGCGGGTCTGTGTAAAAGGTGTTGGCCGGTGCCTCAGCTGAGGCAGAGCTGCGATCATTCACTTAGAGGATGGGGCGCGGAAGACCCGTCCTGCTTTTCTGGTCAGCTGTCCCAGCCGCACTTTGTCAAGACGTGGTCGCATCCCTGGACTGGCGTGAGGCCAGGGATGTGAATACTGGAGACGGTGTCCGGCGCTCCAGAGCCCGCTCGGGTCTGGCAGGGGCACAGCCGGTCCGGGGCAGCAGGAGCAGCGCACGGGAGGCCGCCTGGCTTCCAGCTGTGAGTTACCATCCTCTCGAGTCTTGAGAGAAGTTCAGCTGACCGGTCTCGGCAGCACCCAGCCTCCCCCACGAGTCAGATAGCGGGGCGGGACGGGGAGGTTAGTAGTGGTTTGCAAATGTGTTTAGATCGCTAGCCCTAATTTTCAGTGGTGACTGCAGGTTGTTTCTGGCTGGTTACCGGAACCTTGCCGCCAGGTTCTGTTGAAAAAAAGTTTGGTGCAACCGTTCTCGATGTGCTGTTACATTTGTTCAGTTTTCTTAACAGGACCTTTTATTCTGCCAGCTTAGTCTTGACTCAGCCCCAGGAGTGGCGCCTTTCACCCTACCGATGGGGGGTTCACCCGCCCCAGCCTCCCGCAGCCCTGGTGGTGACAGGGTCCTCACCGAAGCTACGTGTGCTTTTTGCTCTTGCTTAAAATTATTTCTTAGTTGTCTTTACCTTTTAAACTCAGTCGTGACCGCCTCCGGATGGGACACTGCAATCTCTCAGAGGGAATGATGGACTGTAAGGCCGGAGGGAAATTCAGAGATCGCTCGTTCCACCTGTTTTTTCCAGTGAAGAAACAGGCCCAGGGAGAGAGGTGACGTGGATGTAAACGCACCTGCCTTCCAGCAAGCTTGTGCTAAGGGTCTGCGGCAGGGATTGAGGTGGGAGTGGTCTCCCTTCCAGGCCCCAGAGGGAGAGCTTTCCCTCTGGCGCACGGGGGAAGTGAGGAATCAAGCTTCCTGGAGAAACACAAAATACCTTTTTGAAAAATATAATTTTCATGTTAAATTTCAGCTTTTGAGTGTGCCCCATTTCTAAAGTTTTTCAAAGTAGACTCCAGGAAGTCATGGGTATCACTCACTTTTCATGAGGAATTTTATAATTTTGGTTGCTTCATGGAAAGGACAGTGCTTCGTTGGCTGAGTTTATGTGCACGGAACTGATATTTAGTCAGCAATTTCCTTTGCAGTGAAGAAATTTGGTTTCACTTTGTATATGCTGCAAGACACTCACATTTTAATCTGGGAAAATAATAATTAAAAAGAAAATTATTCTTGTGCCGTTTCATGATTGCCTGGTGTTTCGGTGACCAGAGGAAGGCATTTCGTGCACCGCTGGCGCGGGCACACGCCTGGCGCCGGGGCTGGGGCTTGCACCGCCCCCCGATGGGCGGCGTGCGAGACGAGCTGCGGGCAAAATGGAGAACTCCAGGCTGTCTTTTTTTTAAGTCCAGGGTTTTCACCTGAAGTACTATGTTCCTGGTATTTTATCAGATCTGGGTTTTGCCCCCCTAATTTTTGCAATTTGAGAATTAAGTTTTGTAAACTAAGCCATGAAGTGGGTTACATTATGTTTGCTTACTTGTTTATTTGTGCCGCGGAGCCATTCAGATGAGTCATTTGACTCATCCATCAGTTATTAAGGAGGAGTATTGAGTTCTCCAACTGTGATTGCGGCTCTTTCCTTCATGTTCTGGTTTTTGCATCAAGAATTTGAGAGCCCTAATACTAGGTTCCGAACATTTATATATTTTGTCTTGGTGAACTAACTCAGTATGTACTGTCCTCCCTTCTCCCTGGTACTGTTTATTATGCCGACATCCACTTTGTCAGATATTGCTACAAACACTCCAGCTTTTACAAAATTGTTATTTGCACAATATATCCACTTTTTTTTTTTTAAGATTTATTTATTTGTGCATACAGAACTGGGGTACAGGCCAGAGGCTCAGGGGCGGCGAGAGGCTTCACCAGAGACAGAGTGGGGAGCAGAACAGGCAGATTTCAAAGTCCACTGCTGAGGGGAGCAGCGGGCAGGTCAGGAGAGGTCTGCCGCGCCGTGTGGTCACCTCCGGGGCAGGCGGGAATCGAACTCATGCGGAAGCAGCTTTAGCTTCTTAGTGCTGTGCTTTCACCTGCTGCGCCACCAGGGAGGGCCAATATGTCCACTTTTTTGATGAACCTGTGTTTTTATATTTACAGTGGGCTTTTTGTATGTGGTATGAATTTTGGCCTTGATTTTTTTTAACCCAGTCAGATAATCTCTGCCTTTTAATTAGTGTGTGTAGACCATTTACATTTGATGTATTTATAAATGTGGTTGGCTTTAAATCTACCACCTTGCTGTTATTCATTCCTTAAGTCCTTATTTTCTATTATTGCTTTTTCTTGAATTAAGGTATTTTTGTGATTTCATTTTATCTCCAATACTAATTTATTAGCTATGTCTGTATTTTTAAAGAGGTTGTGCTAGAGTTTACAATATTCTTTACATTGTCAGACTACTTCAAATAATATCCCAGTTACGACAACATCCTTTTACTTCCTTCTTCTGTCCTTTAGTGTCAGACATTTACTTTATAATAGTTTATATTTATTAAATTTATTAAATTATATATAATTTATATATAATAATATAATTTACTAAATCCCATGATGCATTGGGATTATTTTTGCTTTAAACTCATTTATCTTTTCAGGAGATTAAAATGAGAAAACTGTTACATATTTATCTATACAGGTGCCATTTTTGGTATTTTTCCCGCTTTAGCCTTACTGGTACTACAGATCAGCTGGCAAGGGATTCTTTTTCATTTTCATATGACTTTTTTCAATAGTACAGAATTCTGGATTCTTATTTTTCTATCAGCACTTTAGATATGCTTCATTTTCTGTAAGCCTGATTTATTTCTTTCTTTATTTATTGTAGTATAATTGACAATGTTGTAATATATTTCAAATATAAGTTGTGGTGATTTGACACATTTCCTCATTATGAGAGGGTTCCTCCATCAAGTTGACATGCCCATCACCTCATTTTTTATCATTTTAGTGAGAACATTTAAATTCTACTCTGAACAGATTTCAGTTATACAACACTGTTAGGACTGTAGTCACCATATATTACATTAGCTCCTCAGACTT